GTAGAGTAGGCGGTATATAAATTAAATAAATAAATACATATTATTTTAATACAAATAATAGAACTGCAGATCTGAAAGGGATCCAATGAATGCGAGTCCAGCCCATGTCACGGAGGCACAGCAGGAATTCGAACTCTCAACCTCTGGCTCCCACTGAGCTATACATCAGAGTTAAGATTTATCCAAAAATATTTCTGCTGTGTACAAATCTAAAGTGGTAATTAAATAAATAAATACATATTATTTTAATACAAATAATAGAACTGCAGATCTGAAAGGGATCCAATGAATGCGAGTCCAGCCCATGTCACGGAGGCACAGCAGGAATTCGAACTCTCAACCTCTGGCTCCCACTGAGCTATACATCAGAGTTAAGATTTATCCAAAAATATTTCTGCTGTGTACAAATCTAAAGTGGTCTTAACATGTGCCACATTGGGAACTCGCACTAAGGCATAGACATCTGGGTCAGTATCCTATTATTACAGAAAAATCACATTTTTGGATTAAAATTAAGGAGTATAACAATGTCTTGCTGACACCCACATTTTTTAGTTTGTATTGATGAAATGGTCCTCTAGTAAATATTTGCATTTTGTTAAATCAAGAGTGGGATTGAAAATCTGGGTTTTATTATTATCATGGTCCATGACATTTAAGCTTTTAAAAACGCCCACCCACCCCCAGAAGTAGTAGCAAAGAAACCTGGTCAGTTTCGTGTCCCCCTCAAAATAGTCGTGATTGTCCACAGACAAGAGGAAGTTTCAACACACAAATCAACAGGAATCTGCTTTGTTCTTTAAGAATTCTTTTGTGTTTGTGTGTGTGTGTGCAAAGAGGAACAGACAAGCTGAGAGGGTTAAACAAGGACACCTAAGAAGTCAACCCATCACCAGAAGGATGTGGAGTCAAGCGAATGGTTATTTATTCTAAAAATGGAAGGTTTTCAACCTACATATGCCAGAATTGTTAAGGAAAGAAAGTTACAGATGTAAACAACCACACAGTTACATAGTCAAATGGCAAAACGCTTTTACTGGCCACTTAAACGTCTTACAGTTTTGTAAAAACATTTACAGCCTTTTGTTTTGCTCGAGCTTCCAATCTACAGCAAACTAAGACATACAATCATGAAAAACACTAACAGATTTTAAACAGGCTGATTTTTTTTTGTCATTTTCACCATTTAATTTTTTTCCTTTCTTTTCTTGTTTTTTTTTCTTTTTCTTTTCTTTTTTTCTTTTTTACAAAAAAAAATGTGCAGAAAAAAAAAAAAGACAGCTAAAGTTGCTAAGATCTTTCCGGTCTGGGATGGTCTAGGGATTGTGGCAGTTTTCATCATTCCTCCACAGCTTCTTGCTCTGTTTTGAGATCCTATTTCAAAATNCCCCTCCCCCCCCCCCCCCCGCCCAAACTGTTCAAATTTTAACCTCAGCTGCAACGTCTTGATGGTATACTGAAGCAATTCCGGGACCCACTGCTGGTTCTACTTTGTCCTTGTGATCCCAAGGCAGCTGGCGCTCCGCATGCAGGTCAGGATGCCCGAGACAAACTTTTAAAATAATCTCCGACTATCGCAACCCCGTGTGAGTTCTGCTACAGAAGTTATTTGTATACTTTTCTACGTCACGCACACCCTTCCCCGCCCTGAAGCGTATGTTCTAGTGGCCTGAAGCATTTAAAATATGTTAACTTTGTTATATATATATATATATTTAAAAAAAGGTTGCCACACAATCACACATTCTGAATACACACGTGCAAGGAGATAGAAGAATCCTGCTTCTCTGGAGCTCCTGTATATTTGAGAAGGGGCAAGATGGACGAGAGCTAAGCTGTAAAGCTCTCTCCACATTCCTCCCACCCCACCCCATATCAGGCCCCCCCAACACCACTCTATAACGATGTGTGTCTATCCTTTTTGTCTGTCTGGGAAGAAGGAACTGATCCTCGGGCATGGGAATGAAGACAAGAGCAAACTGCAAAGACTGGCAACAAAATTTCTGAGTATCTATTCTAAAAAATAATAATAATCACCACCACCACCACCACTACCCCAACATTTAAGATGAAGAGGGGGAAAAAGTAGTTTGAATTTCAAACAGTGAATCACAAGGAACAGAGGCAAATCTTTAATCCCTGTGGCTGGGAAATTAAGACATAATTCGCAAGCTTGGAGGGACCTGGGAGCCAAAAAACCATGAAAAAACCGAAACAAAAACTCCATTTTTATTTATTGTATTTACACAATTCACGTCTGGGGAGGAAGGACATGCCTTGGTGGAAAGCCCCCATCTTACAACAACTCCCCACACACACACACACACACACTGTTTTGTGGATAAAAACTAATGAGGAAGCAGAATTTAATTTTATCTTTTTAAGTTTCAGGAGGGGGAGGATGCTGATCCACTTACCAGTCCTTGTTTTACCAGTCCTTGCTCCCAAAGGGATGCCAACCACTCAAACCCGCCTGGAGGCAGGACTGATTTTATTCTGTCTGCAAATGCTAAGGAGGGTGGCGTAAGTCTTGTAGCTGGGCATGGCACTTTGGGGGCAAGGAGGAGAGAGGGCTTCCTGTACGACGCACAGCCATCCTAAGGGAGGAATCAAACATACCCACGGGCCAGGACCAAAAAATGCCAACTTTTTCCAAGTGAGGGACATACACATACAGCTGTTTTTTTACCCACCCCGTAAGCACAAATCTTTTCCCCCACCCACCCTTTCCTATATACAGAGGCTAACAGTTTATCAAAAAACACAAGAAGCACAGAAGGATGCCTGCGCGCCCCCCACCCTTTCGCACTGACTATATAAAACCTGCTGTTCTTCAGCACAAAGCTCCTTGGGAAAAAAAGGTGAAACTTACACGCCAGCACAGTCTTGCCTATATACATGTTAGGTGCTAACAAGGAGAAGATCCTGCAGAAACCCCTGAGAAAAATGTTCCTTCCGCTCCTATTTTAAAAAATTGGGGGGGAGAGAGAAAGAGAGGAGAGAGAGAAGAGGACAAATGCTACAGAGATGATAAGAGGGCCAAGCTAAGCCTTGGGAAGAAAAGAAGTGTGTGGAGGATGTCCTTCCCACCCACCCACCCACCCCAAGGCAGACTTGCTTAGGCCCCGGAAGAACTTGAGAACTGGGCAAATTAACCCCCTGGGCTTCGTTCTGCTGAACGGTTCACAGATATTCTCTCTGCTCAATAGTTCATAAAGTACGATGGCTGGAGAAAGAAGGGAGAAGCCCGAGAGAAGCCTCTGGCCTGGGACAGGCAACCTCCAACAGGCCTTCCAGTAATTCACTGTCTGAAAACACAGGCCAACGGCTGAAGGGCAGGGAAACTGGCATGCCATGAACCCCCCCCCTCTCTGCAGTGGTTATAAAACGGGGTAAATATTTCCCTGTGGGTGACAATTTATGCCACCCCCACCACCCTCCCCTGGAAACTAAAAGACAGAGGGGCACGCATGAACCCTAATTTAGTTTTGGTTTCAAAGGCATTTGAAGAAGCCAAAACCTGTAGCTCCCCCCACCCCATTTTGTGGGCCCTACGGTCTGCCTGCATGGCCGTCCTTCTCCACCTCCCCATCCTGTTTATGGACTCCCCACCCCACCTGCTCTCCTTCCAACCTCTGCACCTCCTTCCCCCCCCAACTCAGCAGCCCGTCTAGTGGCTCTATGATGTC